AGGTCTACAGCAAGGGTAGGCAGCCTTGGCACTCTAGCTGTAGTGAAACTACAAACCCCATTATATCTCTGCCTGTGGAAATCATGCTTGTGGCTGTTAAGATCTTTCAATGCCTCATGGGACTTCTAGTTCCACGACAGTTGGAGTGACAAGTTTTCTTACCACTGGTCTACAGCCTTTGAAGAAATATATCTGTGCTGTGCAGCCTCTCTGGCTTGGATGAAAATGTCTAGTGGGGGAAGAGGCAGCCTGAATATTCACAAGGCTTAGGTGATAGTGTTCCCAAAATTCCTGGTTACTTGCACGACAAACTTTTCAGCCTGAAATAAAAAAGTCAGAACAAAAATTATATTTTTCCACTATAAAGAGTTCCAAAAACTTAGACCTGTGTGTTGCCACTTCTCTCCCTGAGCAGTTATGTAGAACAGGTCTGAAACAGGAACAAACTGAGCTCCAATGAATCAATTGGAGATTCTTTCCTGCTCTATAGTTGTCAGTCACCAAGATGCAGTAGTAGGTATAGATAAGGTATATAATAAGGTATATAATAAGGCAGGGCTCAAAATTTCCACTAGCCCCCTCGCAATTAGCGAGTGAAAATTGCGTGTGGGCGAGTGGAATTTCAGGGGGGAAACTGCCGCTGCTTCTACAGCAGCGATCACCAGTTCAGCAGCGGCGCTCGCCGTGTCAGTTCTCTCTTCTCCTTGGCCGTGCTGGATCAGGAGTAATCTGATGTGAACAGACACATGTCAGCTTACATCGGACTCATAGACCAACTTTTTTTGTCCTCCATCACAAGATAGAGGAAGAACTGGATAGACACGGATGTTACAGTGGTGACATCTGTTCCGATCAGTAGGGGATCTGTGCACAGTTTGCCTCCTGATCAGACCATGTGAAAGTGGCCTGAGCTGTTTGGCAGAGCTGTGCAAAAGGCAGAACTGGCTGGACAAAAATACAAATCCTTTGGAAGGTTACACAGCTCTATTTGTATTTCATCTGTGCATTTAGCTGTTTGCCTGGAGTTCTTATTAATGGGCATTATGTTAGTTGGATAGTAGGTTACAAAAGGGGAAGTATGAGGACACGAATGGCACATGTTCTTATCATACTGGTACTGCTCTGCTGAGTCAAATCTTGTGCCTGTCCTAAACATAAATCAGTATTAGGCAATTTTAGGAGATAAACCACACAAATATGTATAATGCACTGCAAACGCAAAAAATAGGGCTGGCTGTATTTTTTGCGTTTGCAGTGGAATCGAACGCAGGCAAAGTTTTGCCACGCGTCCGATCGCGGGGGAGCGTGGAAGCGGTGCCATTGAATCCAATCCAATGCACCACCACGCCCCCTCCTGCCCCAGAACGCGAGGGGAAGTTTCCTTAGCGATCGCGGTGCGTTTCAGCAGTTACCGATCTGGAACGCACCCGCTTTCGGTGTGACCAAGCCCTAAAGGTTTTTGTTGACACTGTATTTTCATAGGCAAATGGACACCACCACGCCCCCTCCTGCCCCAGAACGCGAGGGGAAGTTTCCTTAGCGATCGCGGTGCGTTTCAGCAGTTACCGATCTGGAACGCACCCGCTTTCGGTGTGACCAAGCCCTAAAGGTTTTTGTTGACACTGTATTTTCATAGGCAAATGCCCCCCAAGCCAAAATCCCCCCCCCCCCCCCCCCCCCCCCGTGC